TATATACAACAGCACAGTGAAAAATAAAACAATGCTGCCGTTTACTTAGGAAACAGTTTGAGTTGATACTAGCAGGATAGGAAGTGGCAAACTGAGGACACTACTTACTAATAGAGCAATCCTCTCTCAAGGCACGGGCAAACAGCGGAACTGAAGGAAAGAGCCGAAGGGCTTCTTTCAAAACACACTCAAGGTATCGAAGCTCCTTCAAATCGTCCATTGTAACAGGACGCTCAGTGCTGCCTGTCCAAAAACAAACAGGGAGATGAACAAGACCAAAAATCCCTAGTTTTGGTCCAGCAAACTCATGTGTCATGATTTAAGCCCACCCGGTAACTCAGAACCATGCAGCCACTTGCTCACTCCCCCACTTCTTCCTTCCCCCGCTCCTAGAGGGATGGGGGAGAGAATCAAAAGAATATAACTCCCACAGGTTGAGATATGAACAGTCCAGTAACTAAGGTATAATACAAACCACTACTGCTCCCACCAATAACAATAATGATAAGGGAAATAACAAAGGGAGAGGATACAGTTGCTCACCACCCGCCGACTGATACCCAGCCCGACCCGAGCAGTGATCTGGGCCTTCCAGGTAACTCCCCGCCAGTTTATATACTGGGCATGACGTGCTGTGGTATGGAATACCCCTTTGGCCAGTTTGGGTCAGGTGTCCTGTCTCTGCTTCCTCCCGGCTTCCCCTCCTCCCTGGCAGAGCATGAGACTGAGACAGTCCTTGGTCAGAGTAAACATTACTTAGTAACAACTAAAAACATCGGTGTTATCAGTGTTGTTCCCAGACTGAAAGTCAAAAGCACAGCACTGCACCAGCTACTATGAAGGAGAAAAAATGACTGCTGTAGCTGAACCCAGGACATCATCCCGGCTCCTTCCAGGAACTCTCATCATGCACCAAGACCACATAGAAAAAGGTGCTACACATTCACTGAATGTGCATGCATTGCCCCAAAAACATAAGGTTGGTTATACTCTCCTACAGACCTTCTGGCACCCATCCCAATCACCTCTAGCTACTGAAAGCTCCAGAAGTGTCCCAAGGCATGTTCTTACCTCCCCTTCTACATCTAGGCTTTTAATGTATCACATCTCCACTCACAAATGCAACCACCACCACAACCACAATGAAGGGGGAAACAGAAACGTACCAAACACTTCATCCAGTTCTCTGTGAACCTTCTTCTGGGCTTCAGGATTATGTCCAAGTAAGTACAGGGCCCAATTCATACCAGCTGCTGTTGTATCATGGCCCTAGAGGTCCAAATTTACAAAAAGACATTTACTTCAACACCATACCTGTGCACAAGTAGTTTCATAAATACCTACATATGCAGGTAGTATGTAATAGAAAGTGATGCTTATTAGTCCCATGACCACAAAAAAACCCCAAAAGAAAACAAGAGTGTAGAACTCTACCCAACACGCTGATTATTAAGATGAAAATGATCCATGATTCTGTCAGACTGAAAACTGACCAAAAGGGGGAAAAGTGCTGAAATAACCCAAGCAAACAAACTTCTCCTCTGCCTTCGAGAAGTTGTATGAACCATCAGTATATCTACACAATGAAACAGATGTATATGCATCTCTTTGATTACTGGAGGGCCAATGACTACCACAGGAGAAATACAATGGGTACAATCTGTAACTTTTACAAAATTATCCAAAAGAAGGTCTAATGAGACACAGTACAGTGACCATAGGAGGGAATACTTTTTCATCTCCTACAAGAAGGGGATCAGCTACTACTGTTCTCAGCACCGCATAAAAACTTGGAAAGGAAACAAAGGGAAGGGGAACCAAAAACAAACCAAACAAGGGGAACCAAATAAACACCAAAACAAATAAATAAACAAACACACAAACACAAAACCCAAAACAAAACAAAACCAAACCAAAAGAAAACCAAACCAAACCAAAACAACAGGAACAAAAAAAAGGGAAAAGTTGACCAAAAAAGGATTTTGGTGCTAAAAAGGTGGACTTGCTGGGAAGTTCAAGATGTTGAGCCCATTCAAAGTCCAGCTATAGAGTAGTATAGGAATGTTAAGATATAACCTAGAAAAACTCTCTTTGTATCACCAGTAATACGACTCTGAATTAAGGTCTTCTGAGGTCTAGCCTGGAGAACATGAAGAAGGACTACAGAGCCCTGGGAGAGGTGGTTAGGGGCTCTGGAGCTCAGACAGCTTTTTCATTGATTCTCCAGGATAAAGAGGAGGACCTTAAAAAAGCTAGGTGCATTTGGCAGGTTAATAAATAGTTAGAAACGTGGTGCCACAGCCAGGGGGTTGGATATTTAGAACATGGGACTCAATTTGGGAGGCCAGATCTACTGGAGGCTCGTGAAGCTGGTCTAACAAAGGGGAAGAGCTGTTTTGGTAGGAGACTTGCCAGGCTGGTCAAGAAAGCTTTAAACTAGATGTGTTGGGAGAGGAGGGCATCGATCTACCCCAACCCTCCCAGTCAGTTGCCAGCACCTATAATAAGTGCTTGGAGTGATGTAGAGATATTTCAGCTGCTCCAACCATTCAGTCGGCTTCATTTGGAGCTCAGCTCAGATGTCTCTATACAAACGCCCATAGTATAGGAAACAAAAAAGAGGAATTAAGAGATGTGTGCAAGGCTACAGGGATACAATGTCATCGGTATCACAGAAACCTGGAGAAATGGCTCCTGTGATTGGAACATTGTCCGGGAAGCCAGGGACCAGGTCAGGAAAGCTAAGGCCCAGTTAGAATTAAATCTGGCAAGGGACGTGAAAGATAACAGGAAATACTTCTGTAGGTATGTATCAAATAAAAGATAGACTAGGGACAATGTGGGCCCTCTCCAGAAGCTATCGGGAGGACTGGCTACCCTGGATTTGGAGAAGGCTGAGGTTCTTAATGACTTCTTTGCCTCAGTCTTCACCGGCAAATGCTCAGACCACACCACCCAAGTCTTGGAAGGCAAATGCAGGGACTGTGAGAATGAAGACCTTAGGCCCACTGTAGGAGAGGATCAGGTTCAAGACCATCTTAAGAACCTGAAGGTGCACAAGTCCATGGGACCTGATAAAATCCATCCGCGGGTCCTGAAGGAGCTGGCGAATGAAGATGCTTGGCCACTGTCCATCATATTTGAAAAATTGTGACAGACAGGTGGAGTTCCTGATGACTGGAAGAATGGAAATACAACCCCCACTTT